CACCTATCCTCCCAAAATCTCGTCGAAGTACCATCTCCCACAGCCCGTAATATCTTCTCATTAACCTATTGTCCTCCTAACTGTAAAGTAGACACAAAATCCCGCCACCAACTAGAAGCACGTCAATCCACCAAACACACATTCAACCATGACGGGGCCAGGCCATATCGCGCCTGAAGAACCTGCGCCCACAAAGCCCCCAGATATGATAAGCAACGCCAGATCCATTTACCAAGTAAAGCGTAATTAAATAACTTCACATCCTTAATTCCAAGCCCGCCCACTCCCTTTGGTCGACACACCAACTCCCATCGGACCCAAGGGATCTTAGACAGATCCTTAACCCCATTCCACAAAAAGTTCCTTTGAATAGAGATAATATCCCTCACCATAGACTTAGGGACTTTGAAAAAGGAGAGGAAGTGGATAGGAATAGAATTTAGCACCGAGTTAATAATGGTGACACGACCACCAATTGAAACATAACTGTACTTCCAAGATGAAAGCCGACGTCGCATACTATCCAATACCGGCTGCCAAGTAGCTCGCAATCTAGGATTCGCTCCAAGGGGAAGCCCCAAATATTTCACCGGCAATTGGCCCCTACGACAATGAAGAAAGTTTGTTGTAGGCTCCACAAAATCATCGTCAGTATTCACTCCCACCACACAACTTTTATGGAAATTAATAGACATGTCTGATATAAGTTCAAACCCTCTTAACAACGTCTTAACTGTCCACATGTTACATGCAGAAGCTTCCCCAATAATCAAAGTATCATATGCAAACTGCAGGAGAGACACCACATGCCCCATCACCCCAACCTGCAAACCAGTAAACAACCCCCCCTCTAGCGCCCTATCCATCATCAACCGCAGTCCTTCAGCTGCAATTAAGAATAAGAATGGGGCCAAAGGGTCCCCCTATTTCAAGCCCCTCCCAATACTAACCTCCGAGATAGGAATACCATTCACTAGCGCTGACAAGCTACCTCGACAAACACGCCCCTCCATCCATCTAACCCACCTCTCATCAAAACCAAAACCACGCAACATATGTAACAAATAGTCTCATTCAATCGAGTCATATGCCTTCTCATAATCAATTTTAAGCACAAAGATACTTTTTTTATAACGTTTCTCAAAATCAATCGCCTCATTTGCAACCAAAAAACTATCAAGCATGCTACGACCTAGAACAAAAGCCGACTGACGGTGTGAAATAATCGAAGGGAGCACACCACGCAATCGATTCGCCAACACCTTCGATAATATTTTGTACAGACATCCAAGAAGAGAAATTGGCCAAAAATCAAACATGTGCTGAGGACAAGAGACTTTAGGAACCAGCGTCACAAAATAAGACAATAGGGCCTTCGGAAGCGTAAGATTATTATAAAAGTCAGTCAAAACTTGCAACACCTCAGTACGCATCAACCGCCAGAATTTCTTAACAAAGGCAAAATTAAACCCATCCGGGCCCGGACTTTTATCTCCATCACACTCTGCCAACATAGCACTTACTTCCTCCTTTGAAAATGGAGCCACAAGTGTCAAATTCTGTTGAGAAGAAATGCCAAATACACCTATAAAATCCAGCCTAGGCCTATGCCACAACCTGCCTGAAAAGTGATCAGAGAAATAATCCACCACCATCCCTTGAATACCCTGAACATCCTCAACCGACCTCTCACCAACAGACAAAGCATATATTTGGTTGCAGCGTCGTCGCCCCCAGAGACAAGCATGAAAGAACTTTGAATTCAAGTCATCATACTTAGCCCAACGCACCCTCGCCTTCTGGGCATTCAAACATTAATTCCTCCTTCGTGCACTCCAAATCTCAGACAAGACCTCCTTTTGCCGTAATAACTCCACCAAACTTAAATCCTGCACCTCATTCTTATCATATAGGGCCTGCAACTCAACCGTAAGAGAAGAAATAGTCTTGTCAAGGTTACCGAATACCTCACCATTCCACTTCCTCAATGCCTGTTTAACATTACCCATACGGACCCGAACACGTTGAGCTGCCCACGGTTTTTCAACAACACCATCCCAAGCCTAACAAACCACTGACTCCAATCCAGGATGATCAAGCCAACAGTTGTTAAATCGAAACGGCTTCGGACCCCAATTAAGCGCTCTATACTTTAACACAAACGGACAATGGTCAGACACGTCCCAAGGGAGAACAGATACATAACACTCACCCCAAGTGTTGATCCATTTTTCCGATATCAACATCCTATCCAGCCGACTCATCAGTAGCCCATCCCCCCAGAACCATGTAAACCGCTTTCCCACTAGTGGAAAATCTACCAGGCCCATCTCTGCAATACAACTATTAAACTCAAGCATATCAGATACACTAACCACACCCACTCCTCCCTTCCTCTCAAACTCTCGGCACACAGAGTTAAAGTCACCCACTACACACCACAAAACGTCACCAAAGCCTCGAATTGACATAACAAGATCAACCCACAACTTTCTCTTTTCCAACAGGCGACATAGAGAGTACACGTTGACCACAATACACCGAACACCACCATTTCCCCAACTCAAACATACAACTAAGTAACCCAGCCCAGAAAAAGAAAACTGTAAGGTACCTTGAGTCGAGTCCCAAATCGAAATAAGCCCACCACTGCGCCCCTGAGAAGGACAACTCAGCCAATCAAACTCAGACGAACCCCAAATTTGCGAGCACAATTGGCGGTCACAACCCTCCAACTTTGACTCCTGTAACGCAATAAAATCCACACGTTCACATCTAATCAACTCGGAGACACGACAGCGTTTAACCTCTGACCCCAGACCCCTACAATTGAAAGAAGCTATCTTCATGGATCAACCGATTCTCCCCTCTTTTTTTCCACCAATTCTCTGTCATGGATCTCCATAGCCACTAATTTCTCCCTCACTTCTGATTCATTATCCCGCACCACAATCCCCACTAAACGAAACAATTTCATCACCTTATCTGCCACCACCTCATCAGTAGCACATAGAGGGTCAACCTCCAAAGACATGCCAATCTCACTATCGGACACAACATGATCTGGCACCAACAATGCAACCCCATCCTCCACCAACGCACCAATACAACTCTTTTGACCCATGATATTCCTACCACGAGCTTTCCTTAATGTGTGTCGCACATTGGATCGCCCGGCAGAAACTCCCAATTTGGTTGGAATGGGGATCCCAGGAACATCAGTGTCTTGTGCCACCCTCGATACTTCCTAGGCATGCTCTGGCCAAAGCAATTGATCCAACCCGAACAGAACACTACCAAATCCATTTACCTCACCCACATGACACAGTAACTCCTACATATTCACCCCCTTAGACTGAATACCACCCATACTCTCCATCACACCGCCTTGTCCAGCATCTCCATTGTGCACATGCTTTCGACCAACACCATCTGGCACTACTATCGGATCTTGTAGCCTCGCTGAAGGCCTCACTTCTAGGATTTCCTCAACCACCGTCTCTGCACCCACTCCCTTATCATTAGGAGGCAATTGCTCCTCCGTAACAGCCGCCACAATCGGCGTGCCAACCACCATCCCAGACCATACTCTAACCACACCATCTCCAATGCACCCTTCTTCCCCCGACAAATAATTTTTGACCTCATGCAAGTCCAGAGACACACCTTCCATATAATCAGAGCCAATCGAGGATTCATCATCAGCAATATCCGCATGGAACTGACCTCCATGCTCCTCCACCATGCGTATCGTGAAGCATAAATCATTAATAAGTACTTTCGTCCCCTCATTTATCAACGTCGAAGCCGATGTACGTAATTGAACACGTCCATAATCCAGCCTCCTCCTCCGCTTCGTAACCTCATCCACCTGAATAAATTCCCCTAGGCATGACACCATCTTCTTAAAAAATGTCTCAGACCACGCATGTAACGGCACCCCATAACAGTGAACCCAAGTTTCCCGTTGAACACACACCCCTGTCCTTGGATGCCACAAACCAACTTCATAAAACAAACGCTCCCAAATCTTCCTATTTTGAAACACAGTATCCTCCAGGTTCACCCCTGCATCTGACTCGATCAGGACTTTATCATCTCCCATCGTGGTCAGGGCATTATCTGAGAAGCCCGCCTGTAACACCTCCTTCCTAACCCTAGTCAAGTCATGTCCGCGATTGAGGCAACCAACAAGAGTTTGACAGCACTCCTCAAGAAATGACTCCTCCACTGCATAGTGTAAAGGACACCAGGGTTGTTCTGACCGCTTTCCCTCAACTCTATTCACCGTTGGCTTTTCCTCTGCCAACAAAACCTGAGGGCCTCGTAGAGCATTTGCGTATGAAGAACCACCCACACCTGATCGCCTAACTACTCCCTCCCTGATGCTATGTAGTTTCACCGTAGCCACAGACCCCCTAGCGTAACGGCTCAAATGCACCTTCAGTCGTTTCGTACCAATCACAATTGATCTCAATCTCCATTCCATCATCTTCGCATTACAAACATCTGCAAAGCGGACAAACCCAAACCTCCTCCCTACTTTATCAAGTTTCTTGGGTAAAAATACATCCACCACCTTACCCAACTGCCGAAAAATTTTCCATAGAGTACCGATCTCAAGTGGCTCCGGAATATTCGTGAAAAAATATGATGTTGAGGAGCTTAAGACACGCCCTAAATGCCCCTCAAACTCCTTGTTTTGACTCCCATTCCATAACTCCCTCGACTGCCCTCCACCGCTACCTCTCTCCCAAACTCTACCATGGGCATTACTATCCCCTACTCTCATACTGCCTTTTTTCCTTATCATCTATCTAATCCCCTTAGGGTTCAACTTAACTACCAAATATTCCAATTATCTCTTAATCTTCACTCTTTCAAACCTCTACTTGACTAAAACAAGAATTTACCCTGTTTCAATTACCGAATGTTGAAGAGTGGAGACAATAACTTTACCTTTCCATTCTTGTAAACCCCATAAGCATTCTCCACTTTCATCAGCTTCTCCGCAATCTACCAGGACCTTCCAGATGACCCCTACCAAGCAAAAAATCCACAAGTCTACCGGCGGCAAGGTTCCTATGAAGCAACTGGCAACGAAGGCTGCTCGTAAGTCTGTTCCGGCAATCGACGGAATGACGAAGCCCCACAAGTTCAGGTTGAAACCTGAGGCTTTTCAATTAGTGTCTTATCTGGTACCTTCGAATCACGACGCCCTTCACCGCCTGAACCACGCACCACCACAGTGTCGCCGCCGTCCATTCCGACGTCTAGGGACATCTCGAACGTTTATGCGAGCGGTCGCGAAAAGATGGTTTAGACTCGCATTTTATGTTTAAAATGTGTTCATTGCTTCCGAGGTGCTCAACAACTGAACTATCCTCTAACAGAAGCAAGGTTTTCAAAAAAGGGGTTCTTTTGGAGTCGCCACCAATGTTTTGACCTTAAACATTGGAAAAGGAAAAAATATGTTGATTTTAATAAAAACCGCACTTGGCCATTATAACCAGAGTTGGGTAAGGGAGTTAGTTACGTGTGGGGAAGGTGTTAGCTCCCCACAACGCCCCTTTCGGGTTCCCTATGACAGATTAATTCGTTAAGTGAAGATTATAAGAAATTACGTTATTACCCTATTTTATTCATACAACATTTAAATATGGCTATCTACATTATTTTGTTTACATTTCATATATAAAGCAATAAATAAAGCAATAAAAGAGAAGAGATTTGAAAAGAACCTTCGTAGCAAGCTTTATATTGCGACTCTTTTACAATAAGGACGCGTTTCGGCAATCCCTCGCTCTACAACGACTCTCCTCACGAATACAGACTCGACTCGACTAAAATTTTATAGAAGAATCGAATGTCGGAATATAATTCCTTAACTGATTGTTACCTATTTAAGGCAATCAGAAAGATCATTCGAAGTAGGGAGAGAAGAAGACAAGTCTTGGGAGTTTTCTGGGGTCTGAAACATGGCAAATGAGCCTCCTATTTATAGTTTTTCGCTGCCTGAACATCTGAGACGCCCTACTGAGTTGGGACGGCCGTCTGGGTTGGGACGGCCGTCCCAACTGCCTCTTTTACAAAGGCTGAGACCACCTGAAACCTGGGACTGGCAGTCCCAGTTGGGACGGCCGTCCCACTTGGCCAGGGAAGGTTGGGACGGCCGTCTCGACCTGTTTTGGCCAGCCTTTGTGTTTTGGGACCCTTAGGAAGCTTTCCTTTCTGTATTCGGACGTCGTTTGATGCCGATACACGCCCGTTAAAGCTTTATCTTCATATAGGAAGTCTTCTTGGCCTTTATTGAGATGTCAGGCGAGCTTTGTCTTTGTTGTAGGAAGTCTCTTTAGCCTTTATTGAGAGACCGGGAAAAATTAGGGGTCTACAGCTGCCCCCCCTTCACCTGCCCAGCTAATTTGTTTGCTTAACATGCCGATAAAATTAGTTGGTAGGGGAAGGAGTTAACCCTTTTGCCCGGTTATCCTTCGGATGCTTCTTTGCTGATCCTCCGGATGATAAATATTTTTGATAGGTACCAACCCCTATCTAGTTTGAGCCTTACTTTATAAGGCTCTGGTGAGTACTTACCCTCACCCGGTATGAGTCTGTGTTTCGCTAGGCTCTTGTGGGTATCTACCCCCACTAGGTATAAACCTTGTTTTGCAAGGCTTTGGTGAGTACCTACCCTCACCCGGTATGAGTTTGCATTTTGCTAAACTCTTGTGGGTACTTACTTCCGAGGTGTTCAACACTTGAACTATCCTCAAATAGAAGCAAGGTATTTGCAACCCATTTTTGTAATGCTCAGGCAAGTATTTTACTCCACCAGATGCATTCTGTTAAGTTTTGATGAGTACCTACCCTCATCCGATACAAACCTTATTTTTATAAGGCTCTGGTGGGTACCTACCCCCACCTGGTGCGAATCTGCATCTTGACAGACTCTTGTGGGTACCTACCCCCACCTGGTATGAATCTGCATCTTGACAGACTCTAGTGGTTTTTACACCCCCACTTGGTGCGAATCTGCATCTTGACAGACTTTTGTGGGTACCTACCCCCACCTGGTACGAATCTGCATCTTGACAGACTCTAGTGGTTTTTACACCCCCACTTGGTGAGAATCTGCATCTTGACAGACTCTTGTGGGTACCTACCCCCACCTGGTACGAATCTGCATCTTGATAGATTCTAGTGGTTTTTACACCCCCACTTGGTGCGAATCCGCATCTTGACGGACTCTTGTGGGTACCTACCCCCACCTGGTACGAATCCGCATCTTGACGGACTCTAGTGGTTTTTACACCCCCACTTGGTGCGAATCCGCATCTTGACGGACTCTTGTGGGTACCTACCCCCACCTGGTACGAATCTGCATCTTGACAGACTCTAGTGGTTTTTACACCCCCACTTGGTGCGAATCTGCATCTTGACAGACTCTTGTGGGTACCTACCCCCGCCTTTTAGCCATCCGGTTTTACTGGGGGGATTCTTTGTTTTTGACTTTTCTTTTTAGCCATCCGGTTTTACCGGGGATTCATTGCTTTTTGGCTTTTCCTTTTAGCCATCCGGTTTTACCGGGGGATTCTTTGTTTTTGGCTTTTCTTTTTAGCCATCCGGTCTTGGCGGGGGATTCTTGTTGATTGCCTCTTTTTAGGCAGTGATCCTCTAGGGATTTGTTGATTTTTATCGGTTGTGCCTCTTGATTAGGCGGATGCTTCACTAGTGGTGAAGACTTTATACGTTGTTTTTCGCTTCTTGTGTAGGCTGATGTTCTACTTAAGGATATTTGCTCTTGATAATACCTCTGAGTAGGGAGATGCTTTATTGAAAGCTTTGCGCTTTGGACCTGTATTTCCTCTTGCATAGGTTGACTTTCCATGACTGTATTACGGCCTTTCTCTGTAGCGGCCTCTGTTAGGGGATGAAAAGTTTTTCTTTTCCTTTGTTGTTGCCCCCTGGTCATATGGAGGATTTGTCTCCGTTTTTTCTTTGATGGACTTTTATGTAGTCCTTATTCTCCTTTGGGGAAGTGGCGGAGATTCTGGATGTGTTTGCTTGATGACTCATGTGGCGATGAAGCTGAGTCGTGAGGTAATCTTTTTGTCTTGCCTCTGGAGTAAGCAAGGATCCTCTTGGGGATGATCAAGCCTTTCCGTTGGCTTTTTCATGTTGATGACTTCCTTTTTCTTGGATGGAAGGATGTTGATTGAGGCTTTAAATGATTTATGTTTGATGACTCATGTGGTGATGCTGAGTCATGAAATAATTTGTGTGTTGCCTTTGGAGTAGGCAAGGATCCGCTTGGGGATTTATCGAGCCTTTTCGTTGGCTTTTTTTTTATGTACCTTCTTTTATTGGTGTAGAAGGTTGGAGCTAGTTTTCTTGAAGGTCTTTATTCTGCTGGAATGGTTTTGATTTCGCCTTTTTCTTTCGCGACTTTAATTTTTATCGCGAGTTATTTGAAATCTGGCTTTTTATCACGTGTGCCTTTTATTTTATAATTTTCGTACACGTGGGCTTTTGGAATGTAAACAGAAATAACAATGTTTATTCATTACTTCTCTTTTTTTGATACAAAACATTTTCAAATTACTAGAAAATATTTAAAAGGAAACTATCTCCTAATCATCTGCCTCTGGACTGGAATGGGTAGATGGTGCTGGCGAAGGGATGCGGCGGAGCAGGCGGCGCTGGAACCTTGCCTGGGTCTGGACCAGATTCTCTATCTGTCGGTCCGTCCTGTCTTGCCTTATAGTCAGTTGACTGAACTGCTGTCGTATGAACTGGAACGCTCTTTCCATATAGGCGTGCTCATCGTCTATCCGTCGGTATAAATCGGCGAAGTCCGGATCATATGACTGCTGCTGCGATTCTGTAGTTGAAGGGATGTCCTGAGGCATGTCGAAATCGTGCATATCCAGCGAAATCGAGATAATGGGGTTTAAGATAAACCCTGATCTCTGTCGACTGAGGATGTTCATATGAACCAACATTCCTCCGCTAATAGGCTCTGGTCGGAGGCTAGCTGGGAGGTCTTCTCCGTCAGTGCATCCCCAATATTTAGCTAAAGGGGTGAGAAAGGGAGCTATTATGATGGCTCCTGCTGAGCCGCGGGTTTCATAATCTTTTACGGCTTTCAGAAAGGCATATACTGGGTTGCATCGCAGCCCTTGATGCATACAGTAAACGATGAAGAGGTCAGCCAGCGTTACCTTCCCTTGGCTCTCCTTTCGGCTGTGTATAGTCCCAGCTAGCAACTTATGGCATATGCGGAGCGGAGGAGAGAAAGTTGCGCCCTTCAGGTTCGACGGCAGAGTGTGTGCTCCAGTGATCTCTCTCCACATGCTAGTGGTGGTGAGAGCAGCAGGTTTTTCCAGGTATGCGGACCGATATTCTGGTGTTCTTTTATCTGCTCGCTGATAGAAACCCATTATGACATTAAAGTCATCCAGAACAGTGGTCCGGTAGGCTCCATCCATCCAGTAGGAGATGGCCTGAGTCGGTGGCACTCCGGGAATTGCGGACGGCATTTCCACCATGTTGACGGAGGCAAGAAATTCCAGTGTAGCAGTGTGGTGGATCCGAGTAGGTGGCTCTCGGAGCAGAAAGTCCCATCCTATGTTGTGGATGAATCTTCTGACGTCTTCTTCCCAACCAAATGTAGCTAGGATTTCAAAATCCAACCGCAGTGTAGGATACCAGGAATATTGCTGGATATTTGCCAGTCCCTGTTGATGTGATTCTGCTAGTAGAGCGCTAGTAGTAGGAGTTCCTCTAGCAGAGTTTCTAGTGCGTTTTCTCCTAGATGAGGCTTCTCCATGCTCCATTGTATGTAGTACTCACTTAAGAATGCTAGGAGTGTGTTAAAAGGGAAGAGAAGCAAGGTAGAATGCTTGGAATGGGGTACCAAAGGCCAAATCCGCGCACAATACATATAGGGGACGCCAGGAGATTTGGGACGGCCGTCTGGGTTGGGACGGCCGTCCCAATTGAAAAATTCCTTCATGGTCCATCAGCAGAGAAGTGGGACGGCCGTCCCACCTGGGACGCGCATCTCAACTGAAATTGGGAACTTGGGACGGCCGTCTCGACTTTGGGACGACCGTCTCGAGCTTTCTGAGTTGATTTTTTATTTTTTTTGTGGAAAAAAAGGGATAGGACTCCATTCGTTGATGCTTTAATGCATGTAATGTTTTATGATATGTGTCCTATGATCTATTTCAGTTAATATTTCGAAAGTTTTAACTGATGTGCTTTGACTTCGGGCGCATTCT